TTAAAATTAATTCATTACCAAGGAAACATATTTCTGCTATTCACAAAGCTTAGAGATGCTCAGCGTTGCAGGATAGAATTATTACGTGCAAAATTATTTCAAACATATGGTGCAAGACCCCTCAACAATTTTTTTCAGGGTTTTTCTCAAAGTTGATTGTAAAATGTATTCAAGTGTATTTAAATATATTTAAAATTTATTTAAGTTTACATGATTTTTTTTTAAAGACAATGTTTAATTTGAAATCTTACTTCAATTTTTAAATGCATGTGTTTTTAATATTTGAAAAAGATAACATAAAAACGTAATTTCCATATCGAGCAAAACCATTTAAGGGTCTAAAAAAAGGTGTCTTTTATATTGTTGGGTTTTTTTAAAGTTCTAATCCTTTCTTTTAGCCCTTTTATAGGTCTGTAGTTGAGAAATATAGATTAGTATGTAATTGGCTCTCACTTCTTCAAACATACATATTTACACTGGTTGGTCTGGGAAGATGCATAACGTCTTGACTATTTGCCTAGAGAGACAGTGTAGTTTAACCTATTTTGAGACAAATCAAAGGTTAGGATTAAATAAGTTTAGTTTCTTTCTGATGCTTATTTCTGTCACTTTAGGTCCTAAATGTATTTTTCAGACTAAGCAGGAACACCTAAACTTTGAATAAACATAATTCCAGATCCTGGTATTGTAGCCTTATAGAAGTCCTGCACTTAACTGTCTTATTTTGATGCTCTACAAGCACCTTATATTCTTTATTCAGTGTTGCTGTCTATTAGGCTGGGATGAGATACTACTTTATTTTTGTTTGCTTTTGTTCATCAGTGTTTTTTGTGGAATCACTAATGAAAGGAAAATAACACTTTAGGGAGTAAACCTCCTGCATAGAAATAAATTTTAGAGCATCTTAGCTTAATGTTGCTTTGTTTACATTATGGGAAAAGCAAGGGTCAGGAAGGCTCTGCAGAGCAGCACCACTATTCACCTAGTGTGCATACAAAACCATTATTATCTTCCCTGTAAATGTCAATCTTTAAATAAATTATCTACTATCTTGGACCAGAGAAGCACAATGCAAGTTAAATTAATGGTGAATTGTTTGGGATTTTTTTCACTGATTGAGTGTAACTATAAATGGAAAAGTATTTCTATTGTGACTTGCTCTAAACCCAGGAAGGAAGGCAGCAGTGGTGAAAAGCATCTGAATCTATTGCAGATTATCTGCAAGCTTCCATTCCCCTGAGATGCTGACGGTCCTTTCTGTTCTTCTAGCCAAAGATAAATACTGTGAAGCACTTCTGAGGTCCTTGCTACTACCCTTTTCTTTTTGAGCTATTTTTACTTGTCGTCATCGAGAAAAACATATCTGGCCTTGCCTTCTCTTTTTTGGTTATTTCTATGAGGCAAGTACACGGATCTCCTCATATGCTCAGATGAAAATGCCAGGAAAAAAATGAGTTAACACTTTTTTATTTTCATAGAAAAATGGCATGGGGAAGACAGCACCATTTTCATTTGCATTCACAAGAGGGAAGTGTGGGAAACCAGGAGCAGAATTGATAGCAGTGCTTTTAGAGAAACTTCCCTAAAATTTGGACTGCCAAACGTGTAGGTGAATCAAGCTATACCATGGAGAACTGGATGTTCCCCATTAAGGAGCTTGTCTCAATGAGGAGTGACGCGTGCTGCTCACAGCTGTTTCTGAAAGGAATGACGCAAACGGAGATGACATACATGATATAGAAATGCTGCAACCAGCCACATAGTCAATTAAGATGTCTTTGTTTAAGTAGAAATCCCATTATTAAACCTAGATGTTCCAAAGCTAGCAAACTCAACGCAAGACTATCATTGCTACTTTTTTTAAAGACATTTCATCACAGACATCTGCCAGCCAGCTGTGTAGACTTTCTGTCTGCGCTAATTTGCAAAGTATTATTGCTGGCCTTCAGCATTCAGAGCTGTCTCCTTTTGGGCTTTTGATGGTCAAAAACGTATGTCTTGGAAATATTTTCTTCCTCTGGTTAAGTTGGTGACTTTTGTTTGATTGCATTGGATTTATTTTAGCTTTGGCATGGGCTTCTTTTGTTGGACCTACCTTGATTTTATAAGGAATCTTATAAATACATAAATGCTGACTAGCACAGCAAGAAATTGAGCTATCCCTGACTTTGCAGTACTGCCCCGCTGAGGACAGCATCCTGCAGTATTCTCACTTGTCCACTAACCCCATTTCAGTTTTGAAGGTTAATCTCTTTGAGATGCTTTTATATTGGATTATTTAATTGCTTTGGCCTTTCCTGGAGCTTCACCTGGAGGGTTGATCTGAGGCAGCCAGAGGAGGGATGCTGGCAGGGCAGGTGGTGCAGGAGCTGCTGGGACCCGGCCCTGCTTTCCCTGCTAACACTGCCCTCTCCTGGCTCTCCCGCGGGCCCAGGCCCCTTGTGGGAACCAAGTGAAGAAAAGAAGGATGACATCCTTGATTTCTTCTCCTGTCCCTTGCCACCTCTCCCGACCTCCCACCCACCTGCGGAGTGGCACGGTGGAAGCTTTGCCCTAGCTCAAGAAGCCAAGGCAACCCTGCCTCAGAGTTCAGCATCCAAGCCAGTCCCATGAAGTTCCCTGTGTTGAGGTGGTTTGCAGGCTGCTGTAACTGGGGCCACCTGAATCACTGGGGCTGAGCAACCTGAGACTCAGAGGTAGTCCCTGCAACCCAGTCCCCTGGCTTTTAATATCCAGCTCAGCTCCTAGCTGGTTGTGCTGGCACTTTTGATCCCACTTGCTGACTGGACCTCTCCTAAGCTTATCCATCCAGTGCAAGTTGCCGACTAATGGCTCTGCCAGGCTGTTGGAACCAGGCTAATTACCTATCCACACCATGCCATTTCTGAGCCATTATGGGCTTCTGCTGAATTCCCCCCCTCCTCCCCTTCTCCCCCGAGAGCCCTTGCAGGGCCTGGAGTGCTCCCCTCCCTCTCGTTTTCCCCACTTCCCCAACTCATGTCACTCCACAGAGCAGGATCAGGTTGCTTTTGCATTGTGATTCTTGGCAGGAGCCCCTCTCGGATTCCTATAGCTGTTCTGCGAGTACGGCAGCCAGTAGGAACAAAGCACATAAGAACACATTAAACAAACATTCAGCACACCAAGCCCAAATAATTTACTATATGCTACCCTGCCTAGTAAAGGGAGTAGCATAGCAGGCTTGCCCTTTTAATTTCCTTTCTCTTGCTTTTGTCTGTAGAAGTCTATCCCATAACTTCCTTAAAAAGTGTTTATATTTATTCTATAGTCTTTTCTTAGGTTGTTTGTTTTTATGCAGTATGTCTTGCAGTACCAATCTCTTGTGCTTTGCTTGATACCATCATTAAACAGAAACATACTGTTGTATCTGATTAGAATTTTAATTGTAGAAAAATAACCTTTCCCACTGCATCGTGCTCTCACAGTGGTAAAATGACCTCTGTTGTGCTGCTGTCTGACAGTTCTCTCTTTTTAAAACCTACAAGAAGAAGTGTCACAGAAGTACAAAATACAGATCCAGAAATGTGCATGCTAATGACCAGTTGTCCCTTCAGGGATGAAAAATTCCAATTTGACATTCTTTTCATGTCATATGTTAAAGCACTAGAGTTTCAATGAAAATATGAATCACTTAGGAATAAGACATGTTACAGGACTGACAGATAATACTAGAAAAAAAATTAAAAGAAGGCTCAGAAGTAGGTAAGCTAGTTGCTACACCTGCTCAAAATGACAAAGAACTTTGGATGTAGAAGCTTGCAATAAACTTCAGAATGCCTCTGAGTGTTTGTACCTGCTATAAATATGCTTATCTCATTTTCATCAAGAATATACCTTACTAGAAGAAAACCATATCACTGAAATAACAGAAGAGTGTCTTGGATATTTAGTATATGAAAGGTATCTGCTTGAATGCTTGTCCAGTCAATCTATCTGTATCATCTGGTCTAGTAAGAGATAGTGGTTCTTGTCCTGTTAGATCCTCACACCAGTGTGAGTACAGTGATCCCTAAAATGCTTGCACAGGTAACAGCCTTACTTGGGATTCTGCACAGTTCACAGGCCAGCATGGGCTTTACCAGTTGCTGGGCAAATAAGCAGGTTACTGAAGGCAGATGTTTCCTACTCTTCATAAAAACTCTGTAGGCCTCTAATTCTGGCAATAGCATTAGGAGCTAAAAATTATGTTCACGTGTACTCCAGGATGTTGCGTGGCATGGCTTGTAACACTGCTTGTTGGAAAAACTGTTTATAGACTGTAGACAGCATGAACAAGATGAAAGTTTGAAGTTCCACATCTTGTTCTGAGCCAGTTTTAGTAATCTGAACAACGAATGATCCAACAGGAAATGCAGAGTTAGTAAACAAAAGCCATGTATGCTTCATCACAATCGTGGGTAATCATCTTATGACTGAGGTAGGAAACACAGTCTCTTAAATATAAAATCCGCAGAAAAATCACAATTCTGGACAATTCTGAGTGTATTGTGTATAATTATGTAACATTTCTATTGGTTGATAAGAAGTAATTTTGAAGTGATGTCCTATGAAGCATCCTGTTGTTTATGAATAAAAATCAAACTATTTAAAATAATGCAGTAGTGAAAGGCTGTGTTGCTTCTGGAACATTGTTGCTTTCAGAAAGACATTCTACAGAGGAAGCTTTTATCAGATTTATCATAAACCAATTTATTTAGGAACAGTTAAGCCAGTTTTCCTATGTGGATGTGACCAAAGGTCACAAGCCTGGTACTGTAGAGTGAAAAAGTGAAATAAAGAGGGGAAAACAATCCAGTTCTGGTGAGGGAGTCACTGAGGGAAGATGCTGGTCCTGGAAGTGCCCAGCATGTTGTGCTCCTGCTAACTCCCTTTCTAAAACTGGTGGCTTAGCTTAGAGCTGAGCCTGCTGGGCAGGTCTCTTTATACTGTGAGCATGTTTAATGGTTGAGAATGACCATGCCTCTGTGTGTTTCTTGCAGCTCCATGTGGAGTTAGAAAAGGGCGAGAAGGAGAGCGCGGAGCTGCAGGAGTTCGCCAATGCCATCTTACAGCAGATAGCAGATCACTGCCCTGACATCCTGGAGCAAGTCGTCAATGCGCTTGAGGAGTCATCATGACCTCGGCCACTTAGCCCACTGAGCAGCACCCTCGTGGCCAAGCCCAGTCCAGTCCAAGGAGCAATGAGAGTGGATAGGAATGTGAAAGACAGAACATGGAATATAAACTTCTGGTGCACCTTTTACAAAGAAAACAAAAGCAAAAAAAAACCCTCTGAAAACTACATGCTCTCTAGGTTCTTCCAGTCTGTGGTTAATCAGTCATGTTTGCGTTCATCTGCTCACTGCCTTTCTACTTTAGAATCTGGTTCCCCATTGACTTTGTTAATGGTGACATTTGGATACAGCTAACCACAGCTCTTCCAGGTCTACTGAGCAAAGAAGAGGGGATGTATTGCATATAAGCAGCTCTCATTCACCATGAGGTTGCAGAAGGGTAGCCCTTGCCTTCCTTTCATTCATTTATTGCTTTTTTTTTCTTTCTTTTTCTTTTTTTTCTTCTTTTGTTTTGTTGGGGTTTTTTTGTGTTAAGTTGTTGTTGTTGGGGTTTATTTGTTTCGTTTTTGTTTTTCACAAAAGCTGAAAGCCTGAATTTCATAGTGCTAAAACCAAACCTGAGTGTGCTCTGATTATGGCTTATGACTGGTCAGCATCAGCTAACTCAGGTCTTACTGCCTGTCTCAGTGTTTCATATATTCTTAAATAACAGAGAGAGGAAAGGAAAGTTTCCCTATTTCTTCCTTTTAGTCAACTTCATCTAGCAGCTGGGAAACAAGGTAGGCATACTGGTACTTTCTTTTTGCTTCACTTGGATTTTTGTTGTTCACTGATCTGACTCAGAAGTGCTGAGTGGGGCATTTTTTCAGGTAACTGTTCTCATCGTTGATTTCTTGGGTTTTTTTTTTAGATGAGGTTTCTTATCATAGGTCTTTGTCTCCTAAGTTCTTGTTTTATAGAGAGCTCTCTCCCTTTGAGCAGGTGTGGTCAACAGGTCAGATCCAAGCTTTAACTTGTATAGTTTGTCCATTGCCAATTTTTCAGCTTTGTGAACACTAGCTGCCTAGTGTATGAGAATACTCTTAGGCATTTTGTAAATGAGAAAATTGCATCATTTATCTTAAAAGTATAATTTTAAAGCTGAGTTAGGTAAATTGGTAACCTAGTTCTTACTGTAATTGTAATTTAATTTATTTTGACTTAGCTTAGTTTGACAAGGAATGAGTTTGAGTTCAGAGCAATAACCCATTCTTATAAAGAGGAGCATCTGTGCTGGATTTGGCACCCAGCTGAGAAGATAAATATAAAAATCACAGCTTTAGTTAAATCAGTGCAATTCTTATGTGTATATGAGAGGCCTTAGTCTTGTTCCCATCCATCTTTGACACTCATTGAAGCTCCTGCTGATAGGTAATATGACCTGAAATAGCAGGTTGGTTTGTCACTGTGGTAGCAAGTCAGAATCCTATTTTATGAGTAGGACTTGGGTGTTCATTCTTGGTCTATGCATTAGTGGGGAGTCACGTTTTTTTTCCTGGCTACCAATGGTTATGTGTGTCTGGGGGCATCTGCAGGACAGACCCCTTCAACATCTCCCCTTGTGTTCCTTAAAGGAGTTGTTCCCCTTTAGCTTTCTCTTGTTGCTTAAGAGAATAAGTGGAGGGGAAAGGAGACGGAGTATCAACACTGCAGTGGAAGAAATCTTGGTTTTCTAATCACTAGCTAATTATGAATCCTCTCAGTAAACCTTCCATTCAGAGCCTGCAGTTTAATTCCATATGACTTATTACATTTTGAGCTTAATCGCTAAACTTATGCTAAGGAAAATGTTCCAAGCCCTTTCAGGAAAACTGCATTTCTTACATCTTTCAAATCTACAGCGCAGTTCCCTTTCACAGGTCTGTTAGACCTTATTTTGATCTTAAGCAGTGACCAACTGCTTCCAAAGTGAAAGGAGATCAGCAAAAGTTTGAGTAAGGGAAGATGTACCCTGTCTTTTTTTTCCAACAAGCGCTGTAAATTAAGCAAAATTGAAACCTTACATACCTGTAGACTCTTTTGAAATCTAACAGATTTTATATAAATCACATCCCAATTCATTCTCCTGTAATGATTCAGCAGAAGGAACTGGATCCATAACCATGGTGAGCACTAGGAATTAATATGTAAGTCTCCAAAGAAAGGTGATTTGTATGTTTTCCAGGTTTTGAGCTGCCAGTGCTTTGCAAATCAGGAAAAGTAACTTTAGTTCTGGCTGTAGTAGCAGCCTGTGTCTGAATCTTTTTTTTTGTCATGGTTGAGGAGGGTCATGGGAACCTGAATGTGTACATGAAGGGAACACCGGAAGACATGTAGACAGTGAGTGTACATACCACTGAGTCGTGCCTCATCCCAGAACCACCCCTTTGGTCCCATTATTTGAGTCAGCATGTTTCGATAGGAGCTGTTGTTTTGAAATCTTCCCTCTTGCTTTTTCTTCATCACCCCTAATTACTCACTCAAGGAATTTAATGCCGCCTGTAAAAGCATCAGAGCCATCAGCCTAACATCATCACACCACCACCACCACTCCTGACTATCTCATTAACTTATATGGTCAAATCTCCAGCTGCCCTGGTTCCCTGCTGTAAAACAATCCCTCCTCTGTGAGAAGCTGTGGAATTTCCCTTATCGATGGTTCAAATGACTCCCGCTTGTAAACCTCTTACTGAGATGTTCCTTGATAGCATTTCTGCTGCAGGCAGGGGGAGGGGATGGGAACAGGAGGTGATCACTTTGGGATGTTATTTCAATTCCCCGGTTTCTCTGCATTGCCCACACATTGCAAGAAAGCTGCAAGTTTCAGTGCTGGTTCTTCTACATCTTTAACTCAGCTGCCAGTCTGGGGATGCATTTCTGGAGTTGAAAGTGCCCCAGCCAAAGGCACGTTGCTGTCATGACAGCGTGTGCAGGATCGGCCGCCAGGTGAATCTCACTGTTTACATATCTCCCAGCCTCTTCCCTGAGAGGATTTGTCAAGCCTGGCTAGTTTTCACGCTGGCCATTTGGTCTTTTATCTCCCAGCCACACACCTGCTGTTTCTCCCATCTGGATTGTTGGGCCTTTTCAATTTTTCTCGTTAACCACTGTTATCTTCTAAGTCTTCTAGGCTTCCCATCTTAAACATTGATCTTAGACCTCAGTAAAGGGCTTTCAGGGAGAGAGAAGATCTCATTTAGGAGCAGACTTGATCCAACTTATCTCTATTGAACTATTTCAGGTAATCTCTTTGAACCTGTGTCAACAGAGATCTTGTCATAGTGAATATAGCTTGAGGAACTATGTGATTTGGGAGGTGCTGCTGGCCACGATTTAATGCTGAATGTGACCAGTGAAAGCTTTTTCTTTTTGCTTGTGTGGAGTGCCACACCATTGGCCTTATGGCAACAAAGGGATTTTGTTATCGTAATCCATCACAAAATTGCATGTCAGGCACATGACAGATGGGCAGTATGTGTGCACATACTGTGATACTCGTCCAGTTGCCTAACCCATCGCTGCTCTTCTAAAATCTTATACCCAGGTGTCAGCAGCCAGGCAAATGCAGTTTCCTAGCACACAAGTCCTACAAAGCAGCAGCTCTGGGAAATTCAGGGACCCTTCCCAGCGATCCTGGGGAAACTTGCTTTTTCTCCTCCTGTTGAATGATGTTCCATTTGCTACGGGGAACTGTGAAAGTTTTAATTACTCTAAAGTGTTTTGTTTTTTTTTATTTCAAGCTGTCGTTTCTAGAGAAACTGAGAGATGTAAGGACTTGAAGGGCTGTCTTCAGAAAATTAGATAGGTCATTTGAGCTGGGTTTGGGCTAAAAAGTAACTCAAGCTTGAAGCCCACATATAGGGTAAAAGCTGACACCCCAACCACGCTTGTTGATTACATTCACAAGTCCCAGTACATCTTTTCCTCTGAATCCAGCTTCATGTAAAACACTAAAAGGACATTACAACACTAGAATTGCAGGGTGAGGACATGAGCACTGTTTGCAATTGGAAGAAGAATTGCTTGGCGTGCTCCCAAACGAAGCTCTGAGCTTCTAGTATTCTCTCTCATTTCGACTGCCTTTAACCAGCTTTCCCTCCGGAAAATGCCAAACCCTCTTTGGAGTATCTGATTTTTGCCAAGTTCAGGGGATGGATGGTGAAGGTTTGACGTGATGTACAAAACTGTGTGTGCAGTTTCTGGTTGCAGGCCTGGAATATCCCTTCTCTAACCAATCGTGTTGGTACTTCAGGGCTCTCGGTATTTTGCACAAGGGAGCATTAATGTCATGAGCCTCATAGACATATGTTTCGCAAACCAAAGGGGCACCACTTTTCATATGCCCTGTAATTCCCACCCGTTCTGCTGCTAACGCTCAATTTGTTGGGAAACTTCTACAACAGGTAGAAGGTTGACAGGGTTGAGTCCCCACTCCTGTACTAATTACCAGTCGTTGCCGCTGCAGGGGTCTTTTTGCAAGGGACATTGAGAGTCACATCCTGATACCATTTTAAAGCAAAAACGTCACTGTGTGAGTAGTGTGTGTAGTCCTCCAATGGCTCCAATGAAATGCAAAAGGGAAATAGTACAGTCAAGGTGTCTGATGTTTAAGGAAGCCTCTGCTCAGCCCAATGCCCTCATGGCAAGAGGGAACAGGAGAGGATGTGGAAGGCTGCGGATAACTTAACACTGCCCCAGCGAAGCTGGTGGGGTGGGAGGGTCAGGCAGGGGGCATCACCCTTGGCAAGGCCAGCTCTGCCAGCCCGTCTTGTCAGCGTGGCAAGGAGAAGGAGTGTCAGGGGGGTTTTAAACAAAATAATGTTTTTAATTGTTGGTTTTTTCCCACATAAATGGAAGGAACCTTACGCAACAGCAAATCCTTCTGAACAAAATGGCTGTGTCTGCTGAGTATTTAAAAAAAAAGAAAAAAAGAAAAAAAAAAAGAAAAAAGAAAAACTGTTTCAAGATTTTTTAGTGTCAAAAGCATAAACACAGAAATCCTGACTTTTTCCAGTGTGTGTGGTGAGTGCTGTAACCCCGTCATC